CTTGGTACTGGCCCAAAAATGGATAGGCAGACCAATGGAATCAAACAGAACACCCTGAGTTTAGCCCACACACCTATTAACACTTGATTTTTGACAAAGAAGCTAAAACTGTACAATGGAAAAAAGAAAGCATCTTCAAAAAATAGTGCTGGCATCACTGGATATTCGCATGCAGAAAACTGCAGATGCATCCATCTCTATCACCACACACTAAATTTAAGTCTGAATGGATCAAAGACCTGAACATCAATCGAACCACACTGAAAATCTTAGAAGAGAAATTGGGAGGTACTCTTGAACAAATTGGTACAGGAGTCTACTTCCTGAACATAACACCACTTTCACAGACACTAACATTGACAATTAACAAATTGTAAGGCAAAAGACATAGTCAAAATGACGAAAAGGCAGCCCACATTCTGGGAATAGATATTCACTAACCCCATATCTGACAGAGGCCCGGTCTCCAAAATTTACAAAGAAATCAAGAAGCAGGTCTCCAAAACACCAAAGGATCCAATTAAAAAGTGGGGTACAGAACTAAGTAGAGAATTCTCAATAGAGCAATCTAAAATGGCTGATAGACACTTGAGAAAGTGCTCAACATCCTTAGCCATCAGAGAAATGCAAATCAAAAAAACTCTGAGATACCAACTCACTCCAGTCAGAATGGCTAAAATCAAACACACTAATGACAGTTTATGCAGGAGAGAATGAGGAGTAAGGGGAACACTCCTCTATTGCTGGTGAGAGTGCCAACTTGTACAGCCACTCTGGAGATTGGTTTGGAGATTCTTTAGGAACATGGATATCAGTATACCACAAGAGTAAGCAATTCCACTACTTTTTTATTTTTTTATTTTAATTTTAAATAGCTTGTTTTACATGTCAATCCCAGTTCCTTCTCCCTCCCCTCCTCACGCACTCCCCCACTATCCCCCCATCCTCCCACCCTATTGCCAATTCCTTCCGCATAGGGGATATTTAGAGGCTATCATTTCACTCAGGGTAGGGTCCAAGCACTTCCCTAGTAGTCCAGGCAGAGAGAGCAACCCTCTTTGTGTTAAGGACACATGATGTCTGTTAGTATTCGAGGGATAAACACTGATCTACTGCTCAGGACCCCATAGGTTTCCCAGGCCTCCTCCCTGACTCTCACATTCAGGGGGCCTGGATCGGTACCATGCTGGCCTCCCAGCTGTCGGCCTGGGGTCCAAGAGCTCTCCCCTGTTCAGACCAGCTGTCTCTGCTGGTTTTGCCAGCCCATTCTTTGCAAATTTTTGCTCATGGCTCCTCTCTCTCTGTCGCTGGGTTCCTTGGGTTCAGTTCAGTATTTAACTGTGGGTGTTTGCCTCTGCTTTCATCAGTCACTGATGAAGGCTCCAGGATGGTTATAGACATCAAGTTCACTATCAGGAATGGTCATTCAGGGTGGTCTCTCCATTATTGCTTAACTTGCCAATTGGTTTCATCCCTTTAGATCACTAGAGGTCACAATGGTGCCTGATCTTTCTTCTAACCTATGATTCCCTCTTCCCCCTATCCTACCCTCTCAGTCAGCCTTCCTGTTCCTCCATGACCTACTCTCTCTTCCACTTCTCCCCCTCTCTATTTCCCAGGTCCCCCTCCCCCCACCCCTTGCCGTGTTTCCCATCTGTTCAGAGGATCTTGCCTCATTTCTCTTCTCTTGGGTACCATGCATATCTTTTAGGTTCTTTCCTGTTTCCCGGACTCTCTGTCAGTAGAAGTGCAGACTGGCACTCTCCTGATCCATGTCTAAAATTCATATATGAGTGAGTACATACCATGTTTGTCTTTTTGTGACTGGGTTACCTCACTCAGGATGGTTTCTTCCAGTGCTATCCATTTACCTGCGAATTTCAAGATTCCATTGTTTGTTTTTCTGCTGAGTAATACTCCATTGTGTAAATGTACCACATTTTCTCTATCCACTCTTCAGTTGAGGGGCATCTAGGTTGCTTCCAGGTTCTGGCTATTACAAATAATGCTGCTATGAGCATAGTGGAGCAGATGCCCTTGTTGTATGAATTTGTCTCCTTTGGATATATGCCTAAGAGTGGAATTGCTGGGTCTTGTGGTAGATTGATTCCCATTTTCCTGAGGAATTTCCATACTGCTTTTCAAAGTGGCTGTACTAGTTGGCACTCCCACCAGCAGTGGAAGAGTGTTCCCCTCCACATCCTCTCCAGCATAAATTGTCTTCGATGTTTTTGATTTTAGCCATTCTGACAGGAGTAAGATGGTATCTCAAAGTTGTTTTGATTTGCATTTCCTTGATGGCTAACATCTGTTTTACTATGTTCATAACAGCATTATATGTAATATTCAGAACCTGGAAGCAAACTAGATGCCCCTTAACTGGGGTGGACAGAAAAAAAATTGATACATCTACCAATGGAGTACTACTCACTGGAAAAAATAAAACAATGAAATCTTGAATTTTGCAGACAAATGGACAGGACTAGAAGAAACCATCCTGAGTAAGTTATTCCAGTCACAAAAAGACAAGCATGGTATGTACTCACTCATATATGGATTTTAGATGTAGTTTAGTCTAGTGCCACTCTACAATTCCACTGACAGAGAATCTGGGGAATAGGAAATAACCTAAGAGAGATATGCATGGTACCCCCAGAATAGTGGAATGAGTTAAGATCTCTTGAGCAGATTTCGAGCACAGGGTTGGGGAGGGGAAATGGAGCCAGAAAAAAAGAGAGTGGAAGAAGAGGAGAGAAGAGGTCATGGAGGAGCAAGAAGGTTGAGTTGGGGGAAGAATAGAGGAAAATAGATGAGAAATACCATAATAGATGAGTCATTACAGATTTAAAGAGAGATCTGGCACCAATCTACAAGGATGACACCAACTGGCAAACTAGCGGAGAGACTACCTTAAATGACCATCCCTAATAATGAGTTAGACAACTACTTTATATGCCATCCTTAAACGTTCATCCAGTGACTGATGGAAGCTGAGGTGAACACCCACAACTAAACACTTACCTGACCCCTTGAATCCATGACAGACAGAGAGGAGTGATGAGCAACTGGGTAAAAAAATGGACTAGTGAAATCTGAAGAAACATCTGCCCTGAACAAGGGGGAGATCTTGGACCCCAGACCAACAGTGGGGAGGCCAGCATGGGACTGATCCAGACTCCCTGAACATGGGTGATGGTTAAGAGACTTGGACATCCTGTGGGGCCCTGGGCGGTAGATCAGCATTTATCTCTGGCATACAAGTTGACTTTGTGTGTCCATTCCACAAAGAAGGATGCTTTCTCAGCCTGGACACTTTGGGGAAGGCCTGGACCCTGCCCTGAGTGAAATGACAGACTCTGTATATCCCCTATGTGGAAGGGAGTGGGGATAGGGTGAGAGGCTTGGGAAGAGGGTGAGGGTTACTGGAGGAGGGGAGGGAGAGGGAGCTGGGATTTATATGTGAAGCAACCTTTTTTTCTAAAGAAATGTAATCAAACATAATGAGATAAAAGTACCCCTAATAGACACAAACATAAGTATATACATATAGTTTAAACAAAAATCTCCATTTTGTGATAACAATGTCCCCTCAAGTTTCAAAGGCTCCAGCAACAGAATTAGAAATCCTCTTTTGAGTTGTTGTTCAGGACTGTTTAAGATATCTCGGGAGTTGTTTTGACCCATTAATGTTATTGTCCTTGGTCAATAGGTGGAAAGTAAGTTCCTATTGCAGAAGATATCCTGTTCTACATATACTGTTCCTGGAGGTCCCTTTTCAGGAACTGACCTACGTAAAATAATTCTCCCTGAGGACTTGCTTTCAAAATACAAGAAGATTCTGTAACAGCTTCAAAAGCTGGTATAGAATCAAGTGTTGTACCCATGTATGATGCCTGTCAACCATAATGACTGAAAGACCCCGGCCCAGTGCAAGCAGCTGAGGCTTATGGAAAACTCCTTTCCCCCACAGCTCAGCCATTTTTTATCAGGAGGGAGCTCAGCTCAAGGTCTTCGCAGCTGAATAGTCACTACTATCTCTGTCCAGATAGGGGCACAGGTGTCTATGGTCTGCATAGCCAGCCCAGAAAGATTGGGCAGGCACAGAAACCCTTTGTTCTTCAGATAGGGCCAAGGCCGAGAATTGAGTTCTGAGAGAAACCTTAATTGCCTCTCTGTCCAGATGAGAGAAACCTTAATTGCCCTCGTTCTGAGCCCCAGCCTCATTTAAATTACCCAATCAGGGTCCCGTAACTAGGCTTCTCGCTTCTGTACTGCGCTTTTTGCTATAAAAGAACCCCTGAGTCCCCAGCTCGGGGCTCTCAGTTCCCGAGACTGAGATGCCCCGGGTACCCGTGTATTATCAATAAAGCCTCTTGCTGTTGCATCCAAGCTCGTGGTCTTGGTGTTCCTTGGGTTCAGGTCTCCCTCCCGTGAAAGTCCCCCGCTTGGGGTCTTTCATTTGGTGCATTGGCCGGGAAAGTGAGACCCCCGCCCAGGGACCACCGACCCACTTCTGGGAGGTAAGAATTGTCCGGACTAAATTTCTGTTATTTCTGCTGTCTGCTGTCTGTCTATGCTTGTTCTCGCGCCTGCGTTTGTAGTATACAGCTGTATGCATTTGTATTTGTAGCTCCAGGAGACGTCCTGGTAGCATTTGGAGTACTCATTTGTTTGGAGTAGATATCAATCTGCCCCGTTTGTATTTGGAGTACTCGTTTGTTTGGAGTAGATATCAATCTGCCCTGTTTGTATTTGGAGTACTCGTTTGTTTGGAGTAGATATCAATCTGCCCCGTTTGTATTTGGAGTTCTTGTTCTTAAGGACTCGGTTGTTTGAGGTAGATGCCTAGGAATCTGCCACGTTTGTTTGGGGAACCCCCGCTGACAGAGGGATTTTCCATCCTGGTAGGGGACGAGGACGAGAGGCCCCCGACCTCCAGCCCAACTGAAGTTTTGCTTTCGACTCTACGTCGAAGCCGCGCAGCGAAAATCTGTTTGTTTTTGTTTCTTATTTGTTTGTTTGTCTTAGTCACCACTCTCGAGGAGATGGGACAGACAGTTACCACTCCGCTCAGTTTGACCCTTTCACATTGGCCACAGGTTCAGGAGTATGCTCGTAACCGGACTGTCGATGTGCGCAAGAAGGAATGGATCACCTTTTGCTCTTCCGAGTGGCCAGCCTTAAATGTTGGCAGGCCCCGGGATGGCACCTTTAACTCTCAAATTATCTTCCAGGTAAAAGAGAAAGTGATGGATCCTGGGCCCCACGGCCGTCCGGACCAAGTGCCCTACATAGTCACCTGGGAAGCATTAGTTCGTAACCCTCCTACCTGGGTGCGCCCCTTTGTGCACCCCGGAGGGTCCCCCTCTCCCTCTTCCCTAACCCCCGCCAATTCCAAACCATCCGCACCCCCCTTCCGCCCCCTTTGACCCCCTCCCCGTATCCTCAGTCCTCCCATTCTGGCCTGTACCCCACCATAACTAAGCAGAAAGAGAAAAAAGGAGACCCCAAAGTCCTCCCTCCAGACGACGGTCTCCTGTTGGATTTACTGACAGAGGAACCTCCACCGTACCAGGCTCCTCCGGCAGGTCAACCGGCAGCAGCTGAGGCCGCGGCAGCAGCTGAGGCCCAACCGGCGCCTCCCACTGACCCGGAGCCCTCACCTATGGCCTCCAGACTGTGAGGCCGCAGGGAGCAGCCTACTCCGGATTCCACTGCCCTGCCCCTTCGGACGGGCCATGATGGCCAATTACAGTACTGGCCGTTTTCTGCCTCTGATCTTTATAACTGGAAAAATAATAACCCCTCCTTTTCAGCAGATCCTGTGAGACTGACTGATTTATTGGAGTCGGTTCTTACTACCCACCAGCCCACCTGGGATGATTGCCAACAGCTTTTACAGGTCCTCCTCACTTCGGAGGAAAAACAGAGGGTCCTTCTTGAAGCCCGGAAGAATGTTCCCGGGGCAAATGGACAACCTACGCAGCTTCCAAATGAAATTGATGCTGCTTTCCCCCTCGACCGCCCAGACTGGGATTTCACCACTGAGGCAGGTAGGACCCACCTGCGTCTTTATCGCCAGCTGCTTGTAGCAGGTCTCCGAGGGGCCGGTAAAAGGCCCACCAATTTGGCCCAGGTAAGACAGATAGTTCAGAAGGCAGAGGAGTCACCAGCCGCATTTTAAGAGAGACTTAAGGAGGCTTACAGAATGTATACTCCATATGACCCTGAGGACCCCGGGCAAGCTACTAGCCTGACCATGTCCTTCATTTGGCAGTCGGCGGCTGACATCAGAAACAAGTTGCAGCTGCTAGAGAATTTACAGGGTTATACATTACCAGATGTATTAAAAGAGGCGGAGCGCATCTTTAACAAGAGAGAAACACAGGAAGAAAGGGAAGAGAGATGGAGAAAAGAGGACCAAGAAAGGGCAGAACGTCAGAGAAAGGAAATGGAAGAAAGGGAGAGAGAGAGGGACGAGAAGCGTAATAGAGAAATGACCAAACTGCTGGCCACAGTAGTCGCAGAGCAGAGACAGGATAGGCAGAGAGAGGGACAAAGGGGGCCCCGCCTAGAGAGAGACCAGTGTGCATATTGCAAGGAGAAAGGACACTGGGCTAGAGAATGCCCCAAGAACAAGAAGCAAAGAAGGACATTTCAAAAGCCCAAACCCCGTTCTCAAACCTCTGACCTCCTGAGCCTCGAAGATTAGGGAGGTCAGGGCCAGGAGCCCCCTGAGCCCCGGATAACCATACCAGTAGGGGGGCGCCCGGTCACCTTCCTGGTCGACACGGGGGCTCAACACTCTGTTCTAAATCGGTCACCCGGCCCCCTGAGCCGCCGCACTGCCTGGGTACAAGGGGCTACCGGTGGGAAGCAATATCGATGGACCACAGACCGCCAGCTCCACCTAGCGACCGGTAAGGTGATGCACTCCTTTTTACATGTTCCTGACTGCCCATACCCCCTCCTGGGTCGAGACCTCCTAACGAAGTTAAAGGCTCAAGTACATTTCGAGAAAGCCAACATAAGAGTCACGGGGCCAGAAGGGGCCCCACTCACGGTACTGACTATAGCCTTAGAAGAGGAATATAGAATACATGAGCCCAAGGATGACTCCTTTAAGGTCGAGGACCGCTGGCTGACTGACTTTCCCTAGTCCTGGGCAGAGACTGGAGGAATGGGACTAGCCCTCCAGCAGGCTCCCATCATAGTCCATTTAAAGGCATCTGCTCTCCCGGCCTCAATTAAACAATATCCCATGTCCCGGGAGGCCCGCGATGGGATCAAACCCCACATTAGGAGGCTACTGGAGCAGGGCATTCTAACTCCCTGCCGGTCCCCCTGGAACACTCCCTTGTTGCCAGTCAAGAAGCCCGGAACCAATGACTATAGGCCGGTCCAGGACCTCCGGGAAGTCAATAAGCGGGTTGAGGACATACACCCCACGGTCCCCAATCCCTATAACCTCCTGAGTGGACTGCCACCCGACTATGTTTGGTACTCAGTCCTGGATTTAAAGGATGCTTTCTTCTGCCTACGGTTACACAAAGACAGTCAGCCACTGTTTGCCTTTGAATGGCAGGATGCAGACCTGGGAATCTCGGCACAACTTACATGGACTAGGTTGCCCCAAGGGTTCAAAAGTAGCCCCACCCTCTTTGATGAGGCCTTACATCAGGACTTGGCCGGATTTAGAGTCTACCACCCTGAGGTCATCCTCTTACAATATGTGGATGACATCCTGATAGCCACCAAAACAGAGGAGGAATGCCTGAGGGGGACAGAAGCTCTCTTAAAGACTTTAGGAGACTTGGGGTATAGGGCCTCTGCCAAAAAGGCCCAAATCTGTCGGACCCAGGTCACCTACCTGGGGTACAAAATCCAGGATGGAAAACGTTGGCTAACAGAAGCCCGCAAACAGGCCATACTCAACATCCCTCCTCCCAAGACCCCCGAAAATTGCGGGAATTCTTGGGAACAGCAGGTTTCTGTAGACTGTGGATCCCCGGGTTTGCAGAAATGGCAGCACCCCTGTACCCCCTCACCAAGACGGGGGCTACCTTTGACTGGGGGGAGAGCCAGGAACAAGCCTTCATGAACATCAAGAAGGCTCTGCTCTGCTCCCCAGCTCTGGGGTTACCTGACCTGACTAAACCCTTTGACTTATTCGTGGCTGAGTAAGAGGGTTATGCGAAGGGGGTCCTAACTCAAAAACTTGGGCCCTGGAGACGACCGGTTGCCTACCTATCTAAGAGATTAGACCCCGTAGTGTCAGGATGGCCCCCATGTCTCCGCATGATCGCCGCCACCACAGTTCTCATAAAGGACTCTCACAAATTGACTTTGGGGCAGCCTTTGACCATCTATGCCCCCATGCTATGGAGGCGGTCATCAGACAGCCACCGGGCCGCTGGCTCACCAATGCCAGGATGACTCATTACCAGACTCTGTTGCTGGACAAGGATAGAATTCACTTCGGGGCTCCGGTGACCCTGAACCCCGCCTCGCTACTTCCCCTCCCCGGGGAAGCAGAGACTCATGACTGCTTGCAGGTCCTGGCTGAGGTCCATGGGACGAGAGCTGACCTCACGGATCAACCCCTTCCCAACCCTGACCTTGTCTGGTTCACGGACGGAAGCAGCTTTGTACATCAAGGGGAGCGGAAAGCCGGTGCTGCAGTGACAACTGAGTCAGAAACAATTTGGGCCGAGGCCCTGCAGCCGGGAACATCGGCCCAACGAGCAGAACTGATTGCTTTAACACAGGCCCTGAGACTGGCAGAAGGTAAGAAACTCACTGTCTACACAGACAGCCGCTATGCTTTTGCCACCGCTCACATCCATGGTGAAATTTATAGGCGAAGGGGGCTATTGACCTCAGAGGGCAGAGACATTAAAAACAAAAAGGAAATCCTGGCCCTCTTAGAGGCTCTGCACCTCCCAACCGCCCTCAGTATCATACATTGCCCAGGGCATCAGAAAGGCGACAGCCCCGTTGCCCGGGGAAACCGGAGGGCAGACCTGGCCGCCCGGGAGGCTGCCCTGACCTTGGAAAGCAGCAGTCACCTCCTCCAGGCGGCTGTAGTCCCTGTAACTAATGAGGCTTCCGAGAAGACCTCCCCGTCATGGGACTATGAAATAAAAGACATCAAAGCCATGAAAAGACTGGGGGCGACCCGAGTACATGATGGTCTCTGGACCTATCAAGGAAAAACTGTCCTTCCCAGCCTAATGACTAGATATTTGGTTGATAGCCTACACAAACTCACTCATTTGAGCTCCAGAAAAATGAGAGAACTGTTAGCCCGGGAAGAAAATACTCGCCACCTGTTGGGGATAGAAGAAATAATAAAACAAGTGACTGAACAATGTGACGCTTGCGCCCGCGTCAATGTGACCAGGCTAAAGCTACCCATGGGGACTCGAGCTCGTGGGCACCGGCCTGGGGTGCATTGGGAAATAGATTTCACAGAAATCAAACCAGGAAAATATGGATACAAGTACCTCCTGGTTTTTGTTGACACCTTCTCGGGATGGACTGAAGCCTACCCCACCAAGCACGAGACGGCGAAGGTGGTCACCAAGAAACTTCTTGAAGAAATCTTCCCCCATTACGGAATGCCACAGGTATTGGGGACAGACAACGGGCCTGCCTTTGTTTCTCAGGTAAGTCAGTCTGTGGCCACTTTGTTGGGGATTGACTGGAAATTACATTGTGCTTACCGACCCCAAAGCTCAGGACAGGTAGAGCGAATGAATAGAACCATTAAGGAGACTATAACTAAATTATCGCTTGCAGCTGGCACTAAAGACTGGGTCCTCTTGCTCCCCCTTGCCCTCTATTGTGCCCGGAATACACCGGGCCCCCATGGCCTCACCCCTTTTGAAATTCTATATGGAACCACCGTTCCCTTTGTTCAGTTCTTTGACCAAGATATCTCTGACTATGCCAATTCCTCCTCTCTTCAAGCTCACCTACAGGCACTCCAGCTGGTCCAGCAGGAAGTCTGGAAGCCTCTGGCCCAAGCCTACCGAGACCAGAGGAGACATCCTATCGTCCCTCACTCCTACCACGTGGGAGACAGCGTTTGGGTCCGGCGCCACCAGGCTAAGAACCTTGAACCCCGCTGGAAGGGACCATACACGGTCCTGTTGACCACCCCTACTGCTCTCAATGTGGACGAGATTGCTGCTTGGATACAAGCCTCGCACGTAAAAGCTGCCCTCCCTGAGGATCCGGACTCAGGATGGAAAGCTCAACGCACTCAAAATCCTTTGAAAATAAAACTTACCCGCTCCCCTCCCTCCTGCTAATAGCCCTCCTCATAAAATCAAGCACTGGTGTGGCCTCCAGTCCCCACACCGTTTATAAATTAACCTGGGAGGTTCTATCCCAAATGGGGGAGGTCATTTATGCTGTCACGGAACCACATGCACTTGGGACATGGTGGCCTACTCTACGGCCTGAATTTTGTGATTTAGTAGCAGGGTTGAACACTTGGGACATTCCCCATTGCCACCCAAAGGCATGCGCCAGTGGTTCCCACCTTTACAGACGCCGACGTACATTCATATTCGTGGACTCCAGAGAAACCACCCCCGGGTGTGTTAGTCGCAGAGCCAGAGAGCAGCTAAATTCACTGGACTTCTATGTCTGCCCCCGAGATGGACGTACCTGGCAACAGGCCCGGAAATGTGGGGGATATAATTCCTTTTTCTGTGCAGCTTGGGGGTGCGAGACTACAGGGGACGCATATTGGAGGCCATCCTCATCCTGGGATAAAATACAAGTGCGTAGAGGCTGGGACAAAGGACAATCTGGAATGATAGGTATGCCCCTTGCCATTTCTTTCACTGCACAGGGAAAGCAAGCCCCGGACTGGCAGACTGGGTATACCTGGGGTTTGCGTTGGTATCTATACGGACCAGATAGGGGAGTAATCTTTACAATCAGATGTAAGGTGGCTCCCATCAATCCACAGGCCATAGGCCCTAACCAGGTCCTTACTGATCAAAAGCAGCCTAGCCTATTCATGCCCAAGGCTGATACCAGGCCCCTGACCCTGCCTAAAACCACAGCCGCTCCCGCGCCTCCAGAAAGCACTCCCAAACCCCCCTCCTTGGGTCCCCCCCTTAAAGGCACGGGAAATAGAATATTAGCCCTAATCCAAGGGACATATGCCACTCTAAATTTAACTCGCCCAGATAAGACTAAGGAATGCTGGCTTTGTCTGACTCCGCAACCTCCCTATTATGAAGGCTTAGCGGTTGTGGGCGAATATACAAAACAGGCCACAGCCGGGGCACTTTGTGGGGCAGTCATGCAACATAAATTGACCATCTCAGAAGTGTCTGGAAAGGGACTATGTATAGGTAAAGTCCCCACCACGCATCAAGGACTATGCAATGCCACTGAGCCTTTGCCCCAAAGTGGCCACTACTTGATAGCCCCCAATGGGACATATTGGGCATGCAACACTGGATTAACCCCTTGTGTCTCCACCACGGTATTAAATGCCACCATTGACTATTGTGTTCTGATAGAATTATGGCCTAAGGTAATTTACCACCCCTCTGACTATGACTTGATAAATACCTGACCGCAGTAAGAGGGAACCTATTTCCATCACTACTGCCATCCTACTAGGGGGATTAACCATGGGAGGCATAGCAGCAGGGATAGGAACCGGTACTGTCGCACTGCAGGAAACTAAACAGTTCCAGCTCCTACAACAAGTAATGCGTGCAGATATTCGGTCTTTAGAGAAATCTGTCGCTGCCCTGGAGAAGTCCCTGTCCTCCCTGGCAGAAGTAGCCCTCCAAAATAGAAGGGGACTAGACCTCTTATTTTTCCAGCAGGGGGGAATTTGTGCAGCCCTTAAAGAAGAATGCTGCTTTTACGCAGACCATACCGGAGTGGTAAGAGACAACCTGGCTAAAATAAAAGAAAGACGCCAAAAGTACCACCAACTAATGGAGTCCCAACAGGGATGGTTTCAGAACTGGTATAACAAGTCCCCCTGGTATTCGACTCTCATATCCACTATTATGGGACCCCTGATCATTATATTTCTGATTCTGATGATTGGGCCATGCATCTTAAACAGATTGATCCAGTTCATAAAGGAAAGGTTATCAGTTGTACAATCACTGGTTTTGACTCAACAATACCAGCAGCTAAAGCAAAGGGATTTCGAGATGGTAGAAACCTCTGAATGAAAGATTCCATTCAGTTACAAGAGCAATGGGGGGATGAAAGATCCCGGCCCAGCGCAGGCAGCTGAGGCTTATGGAAAACTCCTTTCCCCCACAGCTCAGCCATTTTTTATCAGGAGGGAGCTCAGCTCAAGGTCTTCGCAGCTGAATAGTCACTACTATCTCTGTCCAGATAGGGGCACAGGTGTCTATGGTCTGCATAGCCAGCCCAGAAAGATTGGGCAGGCACAGAAACCCTTTGTTCTTCAGATAGGGCCAAGGCCGAGAATTGAGTTCTGAGAGAAACCTTAATTGCCTCTCTGTCCAGATGAGAGAAACCTTAATTGCCCTCGTTCTGAGCCCCAGCCTCATTTAAATTACCCAATCAGGGTCCCGTAACTAGGCTTCTCGCTTCTGTACTGCACTTTTTGCTATAAAAGAACCCCTGAGTCCCCAGCTCGGGGCTCTCAGTTCCCGAGACTGAGATGCCCCGGGTACCCGTGTATTATCAATAAAGCCTCTTGCTGTTGCATCCAAGCTCGTGGTCTTGGTGTTCCTTGGGTTCAGGTCTCCCTCCCGTGAAAGTCCCCCGCTTGGGGTCTTTCAGACTACCAACATGGTACAATAACCCTCTGCATACAGTAGCGACTTAAAATCTGCTGTAACCAATATCTTTCTAATTGTGCTTAAAACCTGACCAACAAGAGGCAAACCATGCATGTTACTGGAAAGTAGTCAGTGTTAGTGGATCATGAATCTAGGAGATAATGTACCAAACCAGAATAATCGTTAATTATATTTAAATATTTGTGTTTATACCTACAGATGAATGGATTCCACATCCCACATGAAGAAAATTTATCTTTTCAGCAAATGGCAAATATTACAGAAAACTGCAATCAAAACATAGAATGGATAGCCCAGTTCCAATGTATGCTTCTATAACACCCAATTTTAATACTTATGGAACACTTCAAAAAGGGTAGGTTATGAGGGCATATAAGTGGAAGAAGAGCAGTGAGTTGACCATGAGTATGTTTCCTAGGAATTTCAGAAACTATACCCATCTGGTATTACCAGTATAACTGTCCAAACTTGAGCTAAACACAGACAACAATAATAGATATTGACTATTGAACAGGAGATATCAAGGAATCTAGACTACTAAAGAATTTTCAAAAAGTAATAATTGCTAAAAGTGGAGAAACAGTTTTTCCAGGAAAGAACACAATGATTTGTTATCCAATACCACATGAAGTTCTGTGTCTGAACATTTTAACATTCATAGAGAAATATTTTTAGAACCTATTAGCACAACAGTAGCCTTCCCCAACACAAGAGCTAAGAACTTTTCAGTCAGCACATTGGTTCTGTAATAACAATCTTTCTTCATCTTGCTGTAATAATCTCTATTGTATGCTTCTTCCCCCAAGGTAATTTGTAATTTACATCTGCCTTTGTTTATATCATTCTTTGTTCTGTATAAATACAATCCTTCATTAAACTGTTTACATGTTCGAACATGGAGTTTGCGACAACTCTTAATCCCAACAATGGAGAATAAGACCACTAGCACAATTTAAAGTCAACTTTGAAGCAAGCTTTAATTAAATACTGGCCAGGTGGATGGGCTCTGACTAGGTCCATACCCAGGTTTCTGGGAAACAACCCCGAGTTTGGTTTGCAGCAGCTTAGTAAGAAAAAAAAACTTAATTCATTGCACTATTTATCAGGTCTGATCAAGAGCAAGCATACATTCTGATGTACCTCCCACCTACATCCAATCAGGGGAAAATATACATCCTGACATTTTCTTTCCTGTGGACCTCCCACCTATATGAGTGGGATCAAGCACATTGGTGTAGATGGGCCAAACACACTTGTTAAGAGAGTGAAAACTTGTGGTTGTTATCTCTCATAAATGATACCCTCAAGCATTTCAGGAACTATATGTCCTTGGGCAAGAGGCTTGCAAATCAAAGACACTTTTGTTTCATGGATCTCTTAGGCATATTTATTAAAACTTAAAATATAATGTTAGCTTTCACAAACATAAATCTGTATTTCTGGGCCATGATCACTTAGACTGGCTCTAGGGTAAGCAAGCTAACCTTTTTTCTCTTTAAGATGAGAGCTGAAATATTTACTTCAACATACTTCATTCTTTGGTATTTTTGAAAATTTTAATTCTACTTATATACTTCTGTCCTCAAAAATACTTCTTAGGAGAAGCTTTAGAAGTTGCCTAAAGTAGAAACCTGTCCACTTGATTGATTTTACTTTTTGACAGATCAACTAGCTTGTCTAATAATAAGAATGTATGCATTCTTTTTTAATTTGCTTGTTTTTATTTTCATGCTTACAGAAAACAAAGTCCATTTTTCTCTCCAGTGGTCTGTGTAGACATTCATACACTCCAGGCACAAACACATAACTGCAACAGTAAATTTGTTGTATTAGGTAATAGAACCCATTCTATTTCAGAGGTCACTGTTGGATTTTAAAAATTATGACATATTTGTTTCTAAAATTTTCATGGGTGAGTTAAACGCTTAATTCCCTACTTTGATCATAAAAAGGGTCTTGTAGTAGGAATGTTATCAAAACTTAAAGTCATAAACATCCCCCTTCAATATAATGTGCTTTTAAGACTTTAATTCTGCTTTGTATTTTCAGTATTCATCTTAATTTTATAACTTATAAAGAATAATAACTATTTCCCTTCAGTGAAGCAAATTTATACCACAAATAATATTTGTGTTGTTAGTTTTATCTTATGAGAGGTTTCAAGTTTCATCACATATGTACATATTAAATAGCTATAAGGAGAGAGTTACTATTTTCCTAACATATTCAGAACTTTTCATTCAACTCTGATGTTGTGAATGTTGCTTTCTCTTTTATTCTCCCCCACCTCATTCTTTTGTGCCAGCAACATTTCTACATCTAAAGCCTAATAGACACTTCTTTTTTCTTTGTACTCTTTGTTAAAAAAAACCTTTATAATGGAAAATACCTTTCTTTGCATCTTGTATTTCCCTTATCTGAAGAGAGGGCTGCCTATAAGCATTCCCTTTGAAATCTAGGAG